CTCAGTCTGACATCCATCTGTGGTTTTGTTTATATTTTGCTTCTCCCTGCCTTTCTCTGTTTCTCCCATAAATAGCTTTAAAACATCTGTCAAATATCTACAAGGCCTTTTTCTTACTGCAGAAAAAGGGATGCAGGTTAGTACAGATAGTCCTCAGTTTATGACCAGTCACTTAGCAACTATTCAAAGTTACAACGGACCCCCCAAGAGCAAATTAGGACCCAGTTTTAGGGTTCCAATGGTCATCACCCCTCCTCCTGTGTCAAGTAATTGCATTTTGCGCGCTCAGCAATCCACCCACATTTACGACGTTTTGCAGCATCTTTTACAGTCACACAACCAAAATTTATAGTCTTTTTTTTTTTTTTTTGCCAAAAACTGGCATTTACTTTCGGTTCCTGGCAAAAACTGCCCGTTGGCTAAAATGGTTTTGCTTAACAACTGTGGTGTAAACTTAACTACCATGGTGTTCGCGCTTAATAATCACGGCATCAGTTTAACAACTGCCACCCAAAACCCCCATAAAATTGGGCGTAGTTGTGTGGAGACCCGCTTAACCACCAGAACGACTTACAATATTGTTAATTCCGGGCTCAATTACGGTCATAAGTCCAGGACTGCCTGTAAGTTGCCAAAGTTGAATGTTTGTTAGGCATGAGAAGGACAGAAGATGCTATTTTGAAGACAGCTTATTTTCAGCTTCAAGGCAAAGCAAGCCACAGGTAGAAACCGGAGGAAATGAAAGCCAGGCGAACAACAGGAGATGTGGAGGCCTTGAAGGTAGATGCAAAATGGGCTTCCTGTTTCACCACCACAGGAAGTGGCGGGTAGAGGCACCAAGGTACGCAAGCAGCAGACATTCCTGCCGTGTCTCACCGCTTCAGCAAGAGAGCCATTATGGTAAGAGAATCTTGAAAATATCCCCCCAAACCTTCGTCGTCTTTCCTTTGGAGCCCTCAGAGCAGGAAGTCTTGAGATGACCTTTCTTTGTGTGGCCTTCAGGATAAAGATTACGTTGGCTTCGCTACATTGCCTACCCAGGTCCACAGGAAGACCGTGAAGAAGGGCTTTGACTTCACGCTGATGGTAGCAGGTAAGCAGTTACACCACTAGCTTTCTCCATCGTAGGAAACAAGGTCCCCTGCTCCCCACCTTAGCCCACCAAGCCTGCCTGCTTTTTCCCAGGAGATATTCTTGCTTCTTGCGGCTGTTTTCTCCTCCTGAATTGATTTAGACATGCTATATATTCTGTGGTGCAGCATTCAAACGTAAGAGCTAGACTCAGAAGAAGCACTTGGTACCCAGTGTGAGCAGACCTCTCCTCTGTAATTGAAGCAATCTTCTTCTTCTTCTTCTTCTTCTTCTTCTTCTTCTTCTTCTTCTTCTTCTTCTTCTTCTTCTTCTTCTTCTTCTTCTTCTTCTTCTTCTTCTTCTTCTTCTTCTTCTTCTTCTTCTTCTTCTTCTTCTTCTTCTTCTTCTTCTTCTTCTTCTTCTTCTTCTTCCTTTCTCCTCCTCCTCCTCCTCCTCCTCCTCCTCC